TGACCCACTGACCCTGACCCACGGTGGGAACTGGGTGCTGCTCTCTGACTGTGACCCACTGACCGTGACCCACTGTGGGAACTAGAGGCCGCCCTCTGACTGTGACCCACTGACAGTGACCCACGGTGGGAACTGGGTGCCGCCCTCTGACTGTGACCCACTGTGGGAACTGGAGGCCGCCCTCTGACTGTGACCCACTGACCATGACCCACTGTGGGAACTGGGGGCCGCCCTCTGACTGTGACCCACTGACCGTGACCCACGGTGGGAACTGGGTGCCGCCCTCTGACTGTGACCCACTGTGGGAACTGGAGGTTGCCCTCTGACTGTGACCCACTGACCATGACCCACTGTGGGAACTGGAGGCTGCCCTCTGACTGTGACCCACTGACCATGACCCACTGTGGGAACTGGAGGCCGCCCTCTGACTGTGACCCACTGACCGTGACCCCCTGTGGGAACTGGGTGCTGCCCCCTGACTGTGACCCACTGACCCTGACCCACGGTGGGAACTGGGTGCTGCTCTCTGTGATCCACTGACCGTGACCCACGGTGGGAACTGGGTGCCGCCCTCTGACTGTGACCCACTGTGGAAACTGGAGGCTGCCCTCTGACTGTGACCCACTGACCATGACCCACTGTGGGAACTGGGGGCCGCCCTCTGACTGTGACCCACTGACCATGACCCACTGTGGGAACTGGGGGCCGCCCTCTGACTGTGACCCACTGACCGTGACCCACTGTGGGAACTGGAGGCTGCCCTCTGACTGTGACCCACTGACCATGACCCACTGTGGGAACTGGAGGCCGCCCTCTGACTGTGACCCACTGACCGTGACCCACGGTGGGAACTGGAGGCTGCCCTCTGACTGTGATCCACTGACCGTGACCCCCTGTGGGAACTGGGTGCTGCCCCCTGACTGTGACCCACTGACCGTGACCCACGGTGGGAACTGGAGGCTGCCCTCTGACCGTGACCCACTGACCGTGACCCATGGCGGGAACTGGATGCCGCCCTCTGACTGTGACCCACTGTGGGAACTGGGTGCCGCCCTCTGACTGTGACCCACTGACCCTGACCCACGGTGGGAACTGGGTGCTGCTCTCTGACTGTGACCCACTGACTGTGACCCACAGCAGGAACTGGATGCTGCCCCCTCACTGTGACCCACTGTGGGAACTGGAGGCCGCCCTCTGACTGTGACCCACTGACCGTGACCCACGGTGGGAACTGGGTGCCGCCCTCTGACTGTGACCCACTGTGGGAACTGGAGGCTGCCCTCTGACTGTGACCCACTGACCCTGACCCACGGTGGGAACTGGAGGCTGCTCTTTGACTGTGACCTACTGACCGTGACCCATGGTGGGAAATGGATGCTGCCCTCTGACTGTGACCCACTGTGGGAACTGGGGGCCGCCCTCTGACTGTGACCCACTGTGGGAACTGGAGGCCGCCCTCTGACTGTGACCCACTGATCGTGACCCACTGTGGGAACTGGAGGCTGCCCTCTGACTGTGACCCACTGACCATGACCCACTGTGGGAACTAGAGGCCGCCCTCTGACTGTGACCCACTGACCGTGACCCACGGTGGGAACTGGGTGCCGCCCTCTGACTGTGACCCACTGTGGGAACTGGAGGCTGCCCTCTGACTGTGACCCACTGACCGTGACCCACTGTGGGAACTGGGGGCCGCCCTCTGACTGTGACCCACTGACTGTGACCTACAGTGGGACCTGGATGCCACCAAGCCAAGGGCAGCCGAGCCCACAGGTCTGAGACGTGTGCCCTGGGAGGACTAAGGGTGCCCTGCAGACGTCAGATGCGCGACAAAGCCCCAGCGCCAGGCCGACGGCTGAGCAGAAAGGCAGGCCTCGCCTTCGTGCTCTAATGATCCTAACTGGCTCCCCGCCACACAGCCACGGAGAAGGGGAAACCGTAGTTGACTTGGGGTGACAACATGGGGCGCTGTCCCCACCCGGACCAAGAGGGCACATAGACAGTGGGCCCTGTCTCCCGGTCCACCCTCCTGTCACCTTGAACTCCTGCTGCTTGGCCACCGTCACTGTCATGTGTCCCACGAGGAGGGGGTGTCTCTCCTTCTTAATCTGATTCCCGTCATCCTCCACGCAGAACCAGCCCATGTGGTTCTCCTCCTCTGTGGTCAGGTCAGAGAGAATGGGGAAGGACAGCTGAGCCATCGGCAGCTTCCTGGGGGCCCTGTGGAGCCCAGGCTCGGGCCACCCTCCCCCCGGCCCCCGCCTGTGTGCGTGGACCCCAGGCTCGCCGCCCCCCTGCCCTGCGTGCATAACCCAGGCTCAGCCCCCCAACCCCACCCTGCGCGCGCAGACCCCAGGCTCGGGCCTGCTATCCTGCGTGCAGACCCCAGACTCCGGCCCCCTGCCCTGTGCGCGTGGACCCCAGACTTGGGCCTCCTCTCTTGAGCGCGGACTCCAGGCTCGGGCCCCCCTGCCCTGTGTGCACGCACCCCATGCTCAGCGCCCCCCTCCCCCGCACTGAGCGTGCAGACCCCAGGCTCAAGCCTCCTATCCTGCGTGCGGACCCCAGGCTTGGGTCCCCCCACCCTGCATGCACGCACCCCATGCTCAGCGCCGCCCCCCGCCCTGCGCACACGCACCCCATGCTCAGCCCCCCCCCCCTCCCCACTGAGCATGC